TGATCAAACCATACAGGAACATCATTCTAAAATATAACGACATACAACAAAAAGATAGATAGCCATCTATGACTTATGAAGGCGACGATCAGTATCAACACTCGATGACATAAACGGCATTCAGAGACAGGTAACCGTGATCTTTACGGATTAAAATTAGTTCCGGTACCCTCATTAACAAGACATTAACCATTCTTTTGTTCGATACATAGGCAAGACGACGGAAAATACATAGTTTAAATCAGTGGTTTCGAATTTATAATAAAACTAATTGTAAAAGCTTTACAGGCAAGTTAGCCTGCAACATCCATACATAAAGTCAAAAATAAGCTGTCATTCTTCACTTAAACTATTATAACACGAATCTATCAGCAATATTTATGAGACTCACTACTACAATCATAACAGAAATTGAAGTTTTTTACTCTTTAATAATATAGACTTGTTGCTACCAAAAGAGCACAAAAAGTCACACAGCAGGAGATAGAAATTAAAAATATTTTTGTGTAGATTTTCTCATGTCGAATGTTTTTCTATATACAACAGTTATCCTCATTTTCAAATACTGCTGTCCAGTTTTCTCTTCAAGACCGCACGGATAGAAATGACAGTTCTTAAAATGATCGGTATTGAATTGAGCGTATGCTGTGAGTGCCCAAGCTATCCACTATCATAATCCATCTTGACTTGAGCTCCGGATTAAAATGACAGATATCTTCCAGCTCTGATCGATGCCTTGCTCAAAAGTCTGATAATCCTTAGAGAAGTCCTAAAATATGCACAATAGACTGGTGTCACCATATCTCAAAAGCGTTTATAATTTGATGTTGTAGATAGATAGGATGAGATATGATGAACGTTTATATATATGTTTTTGAGATATGATATATATTAAACCGGTCACCATTTACACGATGTCTCCTTTTCCCCTCGAAACTCAGATGAACTTAAATCAAAATAAAGCCCGATGCAAAACCCAATTTATCATTTTTATTCCATTCTTTGAGAAAAAAAGTTTTCCGAAAAGCTGGCCTATGCTTCTCATGATAAATTAATGGAAAAATATTATGGGACTGGAAAAGTTGTAGTAACATCCGTTGAAAATTTCGTTAAGATCAGATATTTTCTTTCGAAAATAGATTTTTAATGGAAGAGCAATGATCTTCCCCCTTTTGGTTCAATTCTTAACTTGAACTAAAGGAATACTGCTGATTTCGTCAAAAAAAAAAGTTTTAATGTTCTTACCTCAATCGTTGATTTACAAAATAACGGTATTGGAATTTCAGTATCATCAAACATTGCTGTAATTTTAGTTAAGATTTTTAACAACACAAGACGATGCACAGGTTAAGAAAAGAGTGTTAATGAAACAGAATTCGTGGTTTCTCCTAGTATATATAGTCAGTCCAGTTTACATTTGTACAACAAGACAACTTTTCGAGAATAGGAGACAAAAGAACACGGACAAAGCGGACGGACTATCTGCTCTTTCTATGCACGTGTGCAATCGTTATACAGTTCTTAAAAAGACGTAGTATAACGTTGTTTATTGGTCAATTCTAGTTTTTTGAAAAATAATAGAGAGTTTCAAATGCTAGAGAATATATAACGGATTTTTTTCCTAATTTGCATTTCTCACTCTATATTTTAGCTAAATATAAATGGAGAACTCATGTATGTTCGTTTTCTTTCGCTCTGATCGCAACATCGATAAGTTCACAGTTTTTATTATAGAGAAAACCAGTTTCATCATCGAACAAATGGAACATCACTGGGCATTTCATAAGAAAGAAAGAAAAAAGTTATAGAGTTGAGTTTCTGTCTTCTGCTGGAGGTCTTGTTTGACAACTTACCTTTTAACTGGAAAAATCCTGCACCTTGAAGAAGAAGTATGATATAAACAGAGTTGCAACTCCAAAGGACTCTGTCAAATTTCAAAAGTATCTCGAATCTATAATTCACATATAAGGTTTTGTGCAGTTCTTAACGACGGATCTAACGATATATTGAGTTTGGGTTGATTCCTTGTGGTTGCCGAGATCGGAGTACCCCAACGAATTTGGTTCTGGATGGACCTGACGTAACAGCCAGGTCCAGGTTTCGTAGTGAAGTACAACGAAACATTTTTTTATCCATATTCTTGTCTAGCGATGAACGTTCATTATCGTTCCATAGACATTAGAAGCTGGTTCTTGTAGAAGAAAAAAATCAGTTTTGAAAAGCTTCCATAATGCGCATTTGGCGTTTTCATGGTGTAGATCAGATGAAACTGAAGTCGGCACATAAGTTTTATTTATTAATACAGCAGTTTGACAGAGCTACAGAGTCTCTTTGCCGATATGCGATATCAATGGTAGCTGGTATCTCTTGGGACAGAAGATACGACCATCACTCGGAAAAGAGCATCCTAGCAAGGGGAAAACCATGTTGTCCGATACGATTTGACCAGCTGACTACGTCTGCACTTTCTGATACACAAAATGTCACTATGAAGATAAGGATTTTCTAGAAGATTTTCAAAAACCAGTTAACGTTTTTGAATTTTGACGAAGGTGGCGTATAGCAGACACCAGCAAATGTATATTTTGAAAATGCGTTCTATATAGGACTTAAACTGAGCTCTTCATTTGTCCAAATAGAGAATTTAAATGAATTCTTTACAAAACATAAAACTTAATTTTTTATTTATTGATCAGTTCTTCAAATTGTTAGTACTCTATTTGAGGCATTTGATCTTCAAAGAATGTATTTTTTATTCTTTAAATCCTGAACAACCCACTTTTTAGTTGTTTACTTTCTGCGATCATCCCGTGAAGAATTAAAATAATTAAGTTTTACCATCATATTAAACTATGTTTTAACTGAGTTTTTCTTCGAGAATATAATGCAATAATGTTCTAATAGTAAAGAATAATTGACAGTGATAACTAATAAATGTTTAAATCATATTTACAAGCAAACAACACACTTCCAGAAAAACTCAGATTTTTGTCGACATCAGTCTGACTGGTGCTTAACTGTTCTTAAGGAAGGCGAAGTATCTCATGTTTAGCATTTTGAGAGAAAAGAGAATTCTTTTGTATGTCTATAACTGGAGAAGATAGTTTAACAGTGTCAACAGCATCCAGGAACAGGTGTGAAACATTCAATTCAGTTGATTTAGCTGAAAGGAAGAAAGGATCTTTCTTTCACAACTAAGAAAATAGAATGCTTATACATGTGACACCTTTTACAATTAGTAAAAGAAGAATAAAAGAGCATCACGCATACAAACAACTCGACAAAAAAAACAAATACGGAAATTAATGATAAATAACAAATCATCAGTTCATTATCGCAAAAACAGGCCGATTAGTGTGAAAAAGCATAGAAATTTCCTACAGTCTCACAAATCAATTATATGAGTTCTTTCTTTTTTGAACAGTTTATTCCCATAAATACTCGCACATTTTTCTTTGGATACCGTGCTCACAAAACTCAGCAACTTATACCATAGAATGATGGACATATTCAGAGAGACAAATTTTGAATAACTCAATCACTGAACAGTGTATATATAGCATCCATGGAGATCGTCAAAGTGCATAAACGCTTTAAGCTACTTTTTGAAAAGAATAAACAACACACAAGAATTCAGACTAGAAGTCGAAAAAAAAACTGTTCATATTAAAACAGTTCTGGTTTTTGATCGAGGTAGAGTCATAAAAGTGATGTCAGATTCGTTTTCACGCGCACCTGTAATAATTACGATTCATACAGAAAATGGTAAAAATGTTTTCCCCTCCCCTGTACGTGGTGGTTAAGAGATTGATTACAAACTGAGATTTTGCATGTGGATATAACTTTAAGGTTAATCATAGTGCAACAATCTAAGACACAAAAACTGTCTTGCATGGTATCATGACTAGTCAAGTTATTACAAAGTATTTATTTAAGAGTTTCTACATGCTTTGCAGTTTTGGGGTGTAAATGGCTATGTATGGATCGACAAACATAATGACGGTTTCAGTATATGAACGCTCAAATCTTCTTAGTTTTAATATAAAATCTACATTCTTGACTATTCATTTTGCTTGTGTTTTTTTGTGTAACATACCAGTATAAAGTGATGCTATCCACTTGTTTTAGATTGAAATCTGTCGTTTGAGAAAGTATCAAAATGTCGTTAATAAAAGCACTCACATTACTTCAACCAAAACAGATTCTGTGGTAAGTTTGAAGTAAGTTTATTTTATTTATTTCTGTAAAACTATTTTCTGTTTTTGTAGGAATGGTGGAAGCACAAGAGACATGGCCACATTAAAAGACAGTATGTGCTACTAAATCTTATTTTTTTGACAGAAGAATGAATACGGTCTGAAAGCCGATAATACAAATATGTTTTTGCGTGTTGCACACTAATCCGGTGGTTAAGCATTATTTTTTGTTTATGCAACAATTACAATTTCCTTTGGAATAATAAGATGTTTGCTTATTTGTCTCAATTAATCCTGTGTTTGCTTATTTAGTTAGTCGCCGTCTGAAATCGGTTAAAAGTATTCAAAAAATAACAAAATCAATGAAGATGGTCTCAGCAGCGAAATATGCAAAAGCTGAAAGAGAACTACGAGCAGCTAGATCATATGGTTTAGGAGCGAAAGGTAAATGTTTTGTGACGTCATTGATCATACTTTAAATAATGCTGTTGTTTTTCTCTTTAAAGCATTTTATGATAATATGGAACTAGATAAAACAGCAGATACAACTGCCAACAAACATATTTTGATTGCTGCAACATCTGATCGTGGTCTATGCGGTGCAGCTAATTCATCAATTGTTAAAAATATTCGAGTACAATTAAATGACACAAAAACAAATGCAGAAGCAACAAAAATTATTGCTATTGGTGATAAATCGAGAGCCATGCTGTCAAGGTTAGTATATGCTAAAGCATCGTTAATCACTTTAATTTCAAGGTATAATTAGGTTAAGGAGACAAAATACATACGATATTTCGTGAGAGTAGCACACATAGTTTTATTTTATCAATCAAATTAGCATAAAAAAGTGTAATTACTTCAAAAACCTAAAATTTCTCTTCCCATTAAGAAAATTACTTTTATTAGTTTTGTATATTCATTTATATTAGCGTGCTTGGCATAATCTTTTGTTTTATGGCAGCAATCAGACTAGTGTCTATTAATGAAAAAATCTAATAATTAAATTGCTTTTTTCTTTTAGAACTCATGCGAGTAGTTTACTATTATCTGTCAATGAAATTGGAAAACGTTCAGTGGTATTTGGCGATTCAGCGGCAATTGCACAACAAATTTTAAGTACAGGGTTCGAATTTGATACAGCAGAAATTGTTTATAATAAATTTAAGTAGGTATTATAACATTGTCAAATTAAGGGTAGACAAATATTGGACAATACTAGTATTCAGTGTAATTATTTTCATTTTTTTTTTGTTTATTTACTTAGATCAGCCATTGCTTATACAACATCTCGTCAACTGGTTTTATCTGGTGATGCAATAAGTAAATCGAAGAACATTGGCGTTTATGATTCCTTAGACGCCGATGTATTACGATCATTTCTAGAGTATAATTTAGCTAGTGTACTCTATTACACGATGAAAGAAAATGCAGCCAGTGAACAAAGTTCAAGAATGACAGCTATGGATAATGCAACAAAAAATGCTGGTATGTTTTCATGTTCAAATGAAAAAGAACAATAACTCCTCCTTCCAATAAAAAATCTAGCCCTTCCTAATTCTTTCTTCTTTTACGATTTTGTTTTTTTAGGTGAACTAATTAACAAACTAACAACATATTACAATCGTACTCGTCAATCTGTAATTACAACTGAATTAATTGAGATTATATCGGGTGCCGCTGCTTTGGAACAAAAAGCTTAGATTATCGATTATCACTGTTAGACACATATATTTATTTTGTAGAACTACTTTTTTTCCCACTGCTAACCTCCGCCCCGTTTTTTTTCTGACAAAAACAACAGAAAAAGTATTTAGTACAGTTACATTTTTTTCTAACCAGATTTCCATTGCAAATTTATGTTTTAACACGTAATTTTTTTCTCCATTTTTGTCAATAAAAAAAGGTTATAAGAACAAAAGAATCATTTATTGCAATCAGAAATAGTGTGCTTCATTTTAGTATAAAATTAGGGAATTTTTTCGTTTATATATTGATATTATAAGTGGTTTGTGATGGTGATAATAAATAGCTAACTGAATTCTTTAATTTAAAGCCAATTCTTACAAAAGTGTATGTATTATCAAAAGCAATCAAATAAAAAAATGGAGACATACTTCAGTGAGTATATTGAAATACCAGACTTTCAGGAAGATGGTTTTGCGTTATCTAAACACATGTTAGGGAGCACTCCATATAAAATTGAATAATCTAGAAGCTATATTTAAAACGATATTTTCTCTCAGTATCTGTTGATAATGAAGATAATGTTTGTTTGGTTTCTGATCAACAACTGATGATGTAGAAAGAATGGAATAGACGAGGGCAAGATATGTCTCTTCTCCGAGAAAAAAAGAGCGTCCATAGAACAATTTTAATATTTTCAGCACGTGACGTAACTATTCTATGTATTTTATAGAATATTTTTTGCAACTCTTTATCAGAATAAAGCAGAATTGTACGACAAATATGTTTTTCATACTTGTATAAGAAAATCATGCTTTTTTGTGATTTGATCAGAACCAGATGCGTGACAACAGAGCGATGGTAAAAAAAGTCATAAAAAGCTATTTCTAGAACATTAGCACACATGCATATTTGTCGTTGATTTGAATTTCTATTACCATGACAGTTATAATTTCTTCGTTGATATAAACAACTTGTAATTACAATAAAGCATTCACTTCTTTCATGTTATAGTAACTATATTAATTGGCGAATTTTATGAAGTTTGAAAATGTTAATCTTCCTTATTCATTTCAACCTTGTCACGATCTACAATTAGGTTTAGCGCCTCGATTCATTCACAATCGATATTATTTTTCAAATGACACTGTATGGAAACATCAAAGATATTCTTAGAGGTTTGAATAAAAGTGAGGAAATATTAAATAAAACTAATCAAATACATATATTAAAACATCAAATTTTATGATCAAATTCAAAAACGATCAAATGTTCTCGGTTCTGGATATATTTATTAATCATGAAGACAAATGATTGATTAGAAACACCAATTTATCGAAAGATAATTCACATCACATGTAAAATAGGACGCCTACTTCTCAAGGTATTATATGCTTGAATTTACTAATTAGAGGAATAAGAATTTCTTTCAACGAAAATTTATTCAACAATCGATTAAAACATCTAAAATAAATGTGTGTTATTTAACAATGGATATTCACTGAACAAACAATTAAACACGCAGTCAACAAAGAAAACAATGATAAAAGCAGAATAATAGTACTTTCCTTACAGATGTTTGACTAGTCAAAAAAATGGTCGAAAATGTCTTCGAGAGTCAAAGAGTGATAGTTAGTTTGAGCTTTCACGAAGTGAAAGCGTTAAATTGTCCGATTAGCTGAAGAAAATATTTCGACCTAATCTCGACAAGTCAGCTCAAGTTTTACACTTTCTTGGGTAATCAATAACAACAGGTGAGGAGAGGCGATTAAGTAATATGGTTACTTTGATATCCAGTGGTTGGATGATGTATAATTCGTTTTTCGTCGAAAATTAGCAAAAGTATTGAAAAATGACCAAAATAATTGATCAACATTTTAGAAGATAATTAAAGAACGATAATGCACATAAAGTTGGAGTAGTCCTTGTCAAGTGAGTGTGATGATTGTCAATAGATACATATTTCTAATATGGACATTAAAATAAAGACAAATTTGTAGAGATTGAATTTACATTCAGAGATATCGAAGGATGTGACGAAGAAGAACCATAAGTTCAAATTTGATAAGCTCAACTTTCTGGCATATGAAAAACATGAATGAAAATGAGTAAAATAAAATAAAAAAGTAATGGGTGAAGAAATAATACAAGCATTGGACTTTGAATGAGAAATTTCATTCAAGTTAGCAGTTTTGAGTGAAGGAAAAACAGACCAGAATATATCGTAATTAGTCAACTAGCAATAGGAGAATAGTAAAAAACCATTTAAAAATGAATAGCAGCGATTAAAAAACTAAGCCTGATTACCATAAATATCTTTAAACGAGTAAAATATAATCTTAACAAAAAAAAATTACAAATATTGTCTCATAAGTGCACATTTGCAATACAAAGACTCCGCTCGTATGAGACTTCTTTATTCGCCACTGTCTATCAATCAGAAAAAAATCCGTATGATGATGGTGATGATATACCTAAACGTGTATCTGTTTCTTTTTCCTGTTAAATGAAGACAGAATTGTTCATGTTTGAGGGTATTTATCTTTCTCAGTTTCTGCGTTATGGTCATGTTTCTCTCTCAGAAAGCCGTGAACCTCTCAACATAATAGTCAGTCCTTGCGCTGTCAAAAAACGTTACTACTTCTTAGAAGTTTAGATATGTACACGCTAATTGTTAATCGACTTATAAGTAAATCAAAATCTATTCAATAAATCAAACTGTTTTTATACGAAAAAAACAACGAAAAAATAACAAAAAAAATGTACAATGAAGTTTAACGTCTACTAGTTTAACAATAGAATTTGCTTGTTTAAGGAAAACAAAAAAACGTGTTTATTTCTTTTGACTAAAATAAATCTTTACACCTATTGCCAATATGGCACCAATAACAACAATAAATAAAAATGAATACTTTTTTGACGACGATCTGTCTTGATTATTCAAGTTGCTCTCATTCTCAGTACTGACATATTCTTCACACAGTGAATCTTGATTGTATGAATAATCATGAATAGCGTCTGTTTCTGCGATACACTGTTCCGTTTGCTAAACAATATAATAAAGAAAAAATTTCAATAATCAGCAACGCGCTTTCTAGTTTGAACAGTAGCCTAATAATCGTTCAAAATCATTTTATATTTCTCTTTTGAGATTGAAGAATCACGAGCTCTACACCAACAGCTTAACACTGATTAGAAATTCGTCAAACAATACGTCTAATTTGTCACTTTTTTCAACGTCCTTCTAATTTTTCTTTCTAGACGTATCGAATTTTTGACATACTTACGGTTTCTAACATCGGTAAGGTTTTTTGTTTATTTTGTTCTTTTTCGACACGATTCACGAATTCTAATACTGGTTCCAATGATTCTTTGTCTTTTTCGTTTGATCGTTCCACTGCTAATGCCGATACTCGCTCTTGTTCTTCATCTTCTCCACACGTAAAAGTATTACTAGATAACGTCGTCGTTAGTTGAACTTCAGGTGGTAATGATAGTAACGGTACTGATTGTTCTTTGGTTCTCTAGAAAATAATACGATTTTTTAAAAACTTTATTATCACAAAACAATAAAATTTTTCCTCATTTGTATCTATCAGAGTTTTTTCTGAAGTAATTTATTTATTCGGTAGCAAATGTGTATTCTACTTAATATTGCTCTAAAACTCTTGGAATACCATATCAGATTATAGCAGCTATCCATCTCTTACATTTTATTGACAATCTTCTTGAGGAAGCTACAAGGTCCGAGGGAACTATGTGGAGAAAACACTTATAAAGTCTACTTGGCCTCAGTCATTTTTGGGATTTACTACTTTATTAATTTTCTAAAGTTAAATCCATTTACATACTAAATCTGGCTTTGATGAGATTTGATTTGACTGATTGTGTTCGTTTTCGGCTAAGATGACAAGGTGATCTTTTTCTTCTTCTTTTTTTGTCATTAACGGAGCAAGAATTGTAGCTGTTGTCACTTTTATCTCGATTGGTGATGATAACAGCGGTAATTGTTTTTCAATCTCCTGCAAAAAGGAAATGTATGTGGTTGAGAGATGAGTGAATGATTTTTCTTAAAAAATTTTTGTTTTTTAAAATCACTTATTACCGGTGTTGAAGATGAAGCTACTTGTGGTACTTGTTGGTAATGCTGTTTTTCTTCGAGCTCAGATGGAGACGAATAAGTGGTTTCGGATGGTGTCAGAGGCGGAGAAAGAACAAGTGGCTGATCGTTTACTAGAATATAATGAAAAATTAACAATTAATTTTGTTTTCGATATTTGAATTTTTGTTACCTTTCGTAGACGAATATTTGTTCGGAGAATTATCTCCTCTAGGCGTCAATGATCTTGGTCGATTTCGACTAGAGTCACGTGATGTACCTAAGAAATAATACAATTTGCATAGATTACGCTCTAAATTGTAGCATATGACTCAGATCACACCCCCTTTCTGGAAGTAGCACTTGTGAGAAAACGAGAAAGGTAATTTAAGAAAATATTTTCATGACTAACTGTGATTGTTCGTTTGATTATGTAGGTTTTGCGAGTAACAAATTGGATTGACGTCAGGATTTGTCTACAATACAAAAATAACTTCAGATTTTCTGGTTGATGAAAGACAAGATGTGTTACTCTTGGCATTCGTGCATAGAGTTGAAATGGTCTTGATAGAAAATCAATTTTCACTGTGTCCCACATTGTTTTTAATAGTTGTATTAATGAAAGATAACCTAATTCTCGAAATGGTAGTTGTCGCTGATGATATTTTCGAGAATATTCACGTAATAATTGATGTTCAGTAAGACCATACTGTTTTCCACGTTCAACTAAAATCATATATATGTCATGCTTTAAATCAAAATATATCGGCGACTGATTATCAAATCTAGGAGTAAAACCGCCGCCGTAAGCCATTGTTTTGACGAAAGTTCTAAATAAAAGTGAAATAAGTGATGAAAAGACTGTTAGATTAAAGATTCTTAAGGTTAAGAGGTGTTTCTCTGTAGGCTCAAGAACTTTTTCATAGTTTTGTTCTTGTATGGTAATATGTTCTAGAAAACTCGAACGTTATAACGATCTAAAACTGTTGTTTTAGAAGGCTGTTGTTTCTGTAACGGGCTAAACAAACATACGATGATTCTTCGGTACAAAGATGCTTTCGAAATTCTATTCTATGATCAATTTCTATTCTTTTCCTGTTAGGCAAAATTGACACAAAAAATTGTAAAACAAATAACTTTAGTATCGTTTATATATACATAAGGATTGAAATTTAAGCGTTAGGAAGCGACATAATGAGCACAAAAAGAATTTTTATATTTAAAATTGACTTACAAAAAATGGATCTCACGAAATTAATACGCGTTGGATTCAGCAAAAAATAACGGTGATATTGTTTGTCAAATATAATATAAAAAATATACGCTAACGTAAGTCCCAGTGAAAATGTTCAGATTACAATAAATAGTAAATCTTAAAAGTTTAGTGTACGTATAATGCTTTGATTATATCATATAGAGAAACAGAGAAATACTGATCGTCTAACTCGACGGGCTAAAACACAGATCAGACACGTGCGAAAAAGTAGGAGAATAAAAAGTGTAGATCATCTGAGTTCAGAGAAAAGAAACAACTGAAGTTACATTTAATTGAAAACTACTGTATGACACCAATTTTTGAAATGAAATAGAAAATGTTAGAGAAAAACACTTGGATGTACTAATAGTAAATGAATGAGATACAAGAATAATACACTGACAAAAGACGTTTTTGACTATAGATGACTTTTATTTGCTTGCTATACATAAATCAACAATTGTCATTATTTAAATTTTGTTGCATTAATAAGTTAACTGATATTTTATTGAAATTTAGCGATATTTATTCGTTCTCCATCAACACTACTGATAAACAAATGTGCATTATTGCCCAAAGGAGTTTATTTTTGGTCAAAACTATGCTGTCAAGTTGTTAGATTTTTAGCCTTACAATAGATTCACAGAGTATTTCCGTCACAAGGACAAGGATCATTGAAAGAAATAAACATGTAAGTTGACTATATCGCTGATGTTTTTCTTTTGCCGTTCGGTGTCCCCAGCTGATCATTATCAATAAAACCAAATTTTACACAGAAGTCTTTCATATAATTAACTAATTAATAACCGGCATGCGTTCTTCGTTATTTACTTAAGGTAATTTCCTCCATTCAACGGTTTCTGAAGAACGGCTAGCGTTGTGATTTTTCCAGCACAAATAGATCTCAATGAGTTACGAAAAAGTTGAGTTTCAGCCTTATAGATCAAATCCTTTTGATCAAAACACTGCCTAAAAGGAGAACTCACAGCTGAAAAAACGATTTCTATCGAAATCGAATTCAAAAAAAGTTTTAGAGAGCTCTCAGCAACATGACTATAACTTTTAAAACAGCGTTCTTCAGAGCTAAGAATTATCTGATTCAAAAGAGGATACTTTCATGTATTAATACTGTATACAGTGTACTCTACAGAGTTCAAAAATGTTTTGTATATCATATGAAATATGAAAATAATTTTAAAAAGCAAAAGATAAATTTTCGCACTAGAAGAAGAAGACAAAAAGCAGTTTTTTCTTTGACACAAATTTTGATGATTAGTCGAACGAGAAAAAAAAGTTTATATGGAAAAACAGAGTAATATAAGTAACCAAGACGGCAAAACTAAAGAGTGAAATAAATGACTTGATGATAAACTATTAAAAAAGAGGTGTAAATTGTCTGTTTTTCTTCCTAACTGCTTTCTTTTTCAGATTTTAAGGCATATTCGAAGCCCGTTTTTAGCCATACATTGAACGGGCTATACATATGTTATTAAATATCAGGTATATTAGATCTGGGTGCCTTTACAAGATCAATTATGATTACTGCCATTGTGATTGCTTTTGTATACACTAAAACGTTTTCAGTTAACTCTAACTCCATTTTTTATAGTTTTTAACAGTTTCAACACAATCTTCTTCTAAAATTAACTTTCAAATTAAAAATTTAAAATAGTTCTTTAATTTTTATCACAATTTTTGTACAAGTGTTTTTAGACTGGTCGGACAAAATGTCGAGATTATAAAACACGTTCAATGTTTGTGGATATTGGTCACTTCTGATGCATTTAGTATAAAATGTACCGACTTAGGTTACATTGCATTGCTTAGTTTGTTGAGTTAATAAGTTACATGTATACTAGTCAAAGACTATAGAATCGAACTGCTTTAATCGATTGATGAAAATATTATCAACGTAAGCTATCTTAAAACCAGCCTTAAAAAAGGTATCTTAAGTAACTTTTATTATTTAATTATTAATTAATAGTAAGTGACTTTGAAAAGCGTTAAATATTAAAGAAAAATCCGAAACAATAGACAGGAGTCTTCTCTCCATAGAACTTGATTGTCATGAACTGAAAACCTAACATTTATTTACTTATAATAAAAATATTGAATTATTTTTCAATTTTAAATCTTTCTGGTAAATCATTTCCATTTTCAAATGTTTGCCATTTTTCTCGTGGAATTTGTGCAAATACTTGTTCTAAACGTTTTTGTCCTTTGTCATCATTTGAATATTTCCGAATAAATATTTTAACAATTCGTTCAGGATATTGTTGGTAAGTTTGTGCATAAATTTCTGGATCTTTTTGAAATATATCACCCAATAATACAAAATATCTTGAACGTGTTTGATCCATAAACATCTTTAACACTTCCGTTTTTTGACGTATGTAAGATTGAGACATAAAGAATTTGATAAAATTTGTATCGAACCATGTGAAATGTCGCAAATGAGCTGAACCAGATGGAAATTGTTCACGGTCAAAAAATTCACGTAAAAATGGGTACAACTGATCAGGACTAGCTGCAAAAAAAAAAGATCATATTAAAGTCTACCATGTGTAAGATTTCTATTCCAGTTAGGCGGTTTTTATAACCTTACGTTCACTGAATTTTTTCAAGAGCGATTTTTTTCACAACAATATTTACAAAGAGTTATCTGTCAAACGTCATGTACCTGATACATAATGAAAAGTTGCATTGTAGGTTTCTTCCCATTGTTTATAGCGTTTTGCCATATTGCTAACTGCTTTATATTCACCACCAAATGTGTTTATCAGTACAGCTGTTGGACTTGTTACTTCTGTGATTTTAATTGTCTAATACATTTAAAAAATTATACACGATGTAGGAGAAACTGATAGAACGAAAAGTGAAGATAGTAGCTAATTTAAGTCGGTTAGTTCTCGTTTCGTCAAAAAATTTTTTTTCTAGTGTTTCTGTTTTGTCAAAAAATAAAACTAGAAGTAGAATATAAATTATTCTAATTAATAAGATTTTGTTAAACAGATTAATTAAAAAGAATCCCGAAATATTCTAAATGAAACGGAAATTAATCACTCTATTCTACTTGTATTCAACTTTAAAACAATGATTTCTCTGATGTATCTCGCACTGTATTTCATGTTATCTATTGTTGAAAGTAAGCGTAAAAAACAAATTTTATTACTTGACATTTTTTTTGTTATACCCAAGACAAAATTGTGAATACTACTGTTTAATTGAAAATGTGAAGACCGTTCGTGTCCTGGGCGTGCTATACAATATGGGTCCACCAATTATGAAGAAACCGCACAATCACAGTGATGATGAAAATAAATGTAAAGTGGAAGAATTTAAAATGAATTTAAAACGGCGTATTGAAGAATCATCACAACCGATAAAAAGAATTTATAGAGAAGAATTAATATCATTACCCAGGTCGAAGAATCGTACTAAGATCGTATCTGAATCAGACAAAATCGTACCAAATCGTATGAAAATCATATATGAATCGTGGTATCTGATTTGTCCTCTGGATCGTATAATACGATCGTACAA